TTGGGGTACACGCCGCGCAGCTCGGTGCCGTCGCGGTACAGTTGAAAGGCAGTGTTGCGAGGTTTGCCACCCACGCCGATGCCCGAGTCCACCGACGGCACATGCACCGCCCATACGTTAAAGAGAGAGGGAGGTACTGGGTGAACGTGTCCCCGGTGAACATGTCGTCGGTCAGGCGTTGGATGTCCTTGAAGAACAACGCCTCATCCGACGCCTGGTACCCGTCGCCCATAAATACAATGTCAATGCGGTTCTTGGGGGGGCCCGAGTCGACGATCTTCTTGATCACGGTGGTCACGGCAGAGGTCGAGGTGGCTTCGGCGTTGTGGCGCAGTGCGCCGGACGGACACCGCTTGGCCAGCTGGCCCAGCACGGCGTCGACGCTTCCCCCGATGATTTCCACGAACTCTTGGGCGCCTTCCTCCGAGTTCCGGAGCAGGTCCAAGTCGTTGAGGTGGCTTTTGCGCTTCGTTGTGAGCTCAATGAACGAGTCCGGGTGCTCCACGCTGCGGTGGAGCTGGGCCACGTGGACGGAATCGATGAGTTCGCATTCGAACGTGTTGGTGTCCACGAGGATTTTGGCCGAGTACGTGTCCAAGGCGGCAACGACGGTCGCGCCAACCAGCACGAGGGAGCGGACGATCTTCATGTGTCTCGAAGCTCGAGGGTTTGAAAATGACAAGGGTGCCGGCAGTGGTAGGTCAAGAATCCGAGGGGATCATGTATCTGGGCGGCATGAACATGCTGGGCCAAACGAAAGTTCCCACCACCTGAGATATGGCGGCACGTACAGAAAAATACAATGGATTGTATTGTGCCTTCGATACAAATTTCCAGACGACCACCCGTGTCTGGGAATTTTATAGCGAATACTACACGACACCCCTGTTGTATAATAGTACAATACAGTAATAACTCATGGTTCTGGAGTACATACAAACTCGTATAACTTGTTATTATGTATGAACGGTGAGGGATTGTTTCTGAAATCCAGATGTTGCTGCCTGGTGTTTTATTGGAATAATTCCCTCATTAAATCAGTAGCACTGTTGTTTTGACCTGAAATACTGTTTCAATGAGGGAATTACAGTACTATATACACTACACCTTTTCGCCAGTAGCCCTGTAACCGGGGTAACTGCATCGCTAGTGGTTAGCTATCGCTAACCACTGAGATGCACATAACCCCTAGTAAGAGGTGAGTCTGGTCTGAGCATACAAAGTTCCATGTAAACCTCATTGAAACAGTATTTCGGGTGAAAACAAGAGTGGAACTGTTATAATGAGGGAATTGTACTGTTTTCGTGACCTGTGTCATTTTCCTACAATTTTAACGTCAAAATGTACTACTATACCACGTATCACGCAATACAGTAACGTCGGCAAGTTACAGTGATTAATTGAGTTTGGAGTATGCCGCGCAACCCGAGACTCTGAGTCTCGGGTTGAAATTGTCAACCCTGAACGAAGTCAACCCAGAATGCAACCGGATTTCGGATAAATCAACCAATCAAATTTAAGTCGTTCAGGGTAAATTTGTTTCAGGGTTCGTTCAGGGTAGTTCCCCGACCAGGGCCTAAGACATTCCTCCGCGAGGGCTGATACTAGAACCACATGTTATGGAACTGCTTCGCCAATTGTAACGCACCTGCTCGATCAGGGACGGTGTGTAATCTTCGGTTTTTACTTCGCTCAACGCTTCATATGGTGCAAGTCAGCTAAAGACTGCAAAAATATGGGGTCGTTCTTAGTGACTACTACGTAGTATTACCGTACGTCTAGGATTTATGAAAACCACGCATTCAAAGCCATAAGATCCATAGAGGGGCGTCTAAGGATGAAATGTTACGGCGTAGATTTTTCTGAATCGCAAAAATGGTGAGAAATAGGATTTGCCGTGACGGCACCCCATAAACGGAAATCTATGGGACCTAACAGATTTTGGCATTAGGGGTGCTTGTCCCTGTACTTGATATTTGTATACAACGTAACCGGATGGACCTTTGATATGATTATCCGGATGCACCACTCCTCACATGGGTCGCCGGTCCAAGCGCCAACAGGCTGCAAGAGCTGCTGACCGAAGAATTTCAGGTCAGTTCGGCCAACAACAACAGCACGGAGAGGATACAGCGCTTGAAGGAGAAGCTGTATGTGACGACACGCCATCAGAGGAACCCTTGTACTTGAGCCCCGACATTTGGACCAAACTCCTTGTCAATCAAGGAATGGGTGACCTTGTTCAAAGGCTTCGCAACCACTTTTCGATCCTATTGCAATGGAACTAGTTCACGCAGCAAACGACGCAAGACTGCGTTAAACGCAAATGCTCTCAAGGCGTGTCCAATGTTCTCTTTGGACACTTGGCTAAACCCTGTTGCCCATCCAACGCTTCCTCACGAATCCACTTGAGCCCATCCAGCGGCCTCTCCAACCGACTCCATTATCCGCTCGGACCAGCAGTGTTTCAATTTGCTCAACGAACGTTTGGTGGACAAGAAGACCGCCACCCCAGTGTTTGTCCACTTGGTTGTGCTTGCAATATTCTTTGAGTGTCGTTTGGCTGGCTCAACTGGATGTGACCCTTGTGGTGCTGCGGCCATCTTACTGCCTGCCGCATTCTACCTCGGACCACGCACGGTGTTGAATTGGTGTCAGTCATATCAATGCTTTGGTTGCCTTCCGAGCTCTAGACGAGGTCGGCACCAGAAGACGCCGTCCCTAATTCACGACGAGGATTTCTTGAGTAAGTGTGGGCAATGGTTGCGGTTAACTCGGCCTTCAATGCGCACTCCTCATAACTTTCTATTACACCTCAATGAATCTATCCTCCCCGAGCTCACAGGTAATGCGAAAGTTATTCCCAAAGTACATTCTACTTCACAATAGTATTATATTTTTAAGGTGCGATGAAATCAACTATGTCAGAAGCCACGGCCCGGCGATGGATGGTACATGCCGGGTACAAGTTCGGCTCGTGGAGGAAGGATGTTTATGTCGATGGCCATGAGCGACAAGATGTTGTGGAATACCGAAAGGTTTTCTGCTCGACATGGCTGAGTCTTAGCGAGCGGATGGCGTCATTTTCGGGGGAGGCCATGGACATATTGGAGTCTCCCAATGACGTCTCACAGAAGCAGGTTGTATGGGTGACTCACGACGAATCCATCTTCTACGCCAACGACGACGGGGAAATGGTTTGGACGAATACGGCCCACCCAGATCTCCCCAAAAAGGGGCGTGGGCGCTCAATTATGGTGTCTGACCTTCTTTGCCAATGTCATGGCGGCCTCTTTATGCTGGGTGAACCATTGTTTGTCACATAGCTGCATGTTGGCAAGGCCCGAGGGCTACTGGACCAGTGAGCATGTGATCAAGCAGGTAACGCAAAGGGTTCTTCCTGTGTTTGCGGCTTTGCACCCCGGATGCACCGCGTTGTTCACGTTTGATCAATCAACCAACCACGCAGCTTACACTGCCGATGCTATCCGAACGTCCAGCTTGAATCTCAACCCGGGGGCAAGCAGCCAAGACTTGGCATGGCTCTTCGCAGATTGCTCAAGCAAGGACATTCCCAGAAGACCATCCTGACCAGTTTATGCGTGGGATCACCAAAGGAGTCAAGAGTGTGTTGATTGAACGCGGAGCATGGGATAATGCCATGCTACTGACGTGCGGTAATGTGGTGTCGATGTCACTCTTCTCTGAGCTGCTACGATGATGTGCTCGACACTGCCTTGCATCTCATGCTGACTTTCGATCACAGAAGTCGATCCTGGAGGAGACGATTGTGGCTGCTGGTCATGTGTGCTTGTTCTTCCCCAAGTACCACTGCGAACTCAACCCCATCGAGTCGTATTGGGGTGCGGCAAAGCGCCACGCACGATCCAACGAGGATAAAATATTGCCACATAAGAATTGCTGAGGACCACACAGGAATAGCTGAGAACCACATAAGAATTGCTGAATCGCACATGCTTTATGCTGAAGAACACATGAGATTTGCTGAATTGAATA